ATAAACAACAAATAGACAAAAGGCGGCAAGTAAAAATAAATAATACAACACAATACTGTTCTGTTGTTTTGCTGCATTTCTTGCTCAGTCCCATCTTTTTCTGTCTTTATCTTTCACACACTTGACATACTGACTGTGTGGGAGAGCTGGTAGGAGTTTTTGTTTGCTGTGTATGTGTGTGTGTGTACACTGGCAGGCATACCTGCTCCACTTCATTTCATATCTAACACTGGACTGTATATGTGGGTGCTGCATATATCCAGATGTTAAGTGTGTGTGTGTGTGTGTGTGTGTGTGTGTGTGTGTGTGTGTGTGTGTGTGTGTGTGTGTGTGTGTGTGTGTGTGTGTGTGTGTGTGTGTGTGTGTGTGTGTGTGTGTGTGTGTGTGTGTGTGTGTGTGTGTGTGTGTGTGTGTGTGTGTGTGTGTGTGTGTGTGTGTGTGTAACTGGACACCATATGGATAGGAACTACCATTTCCTTTTTGTCAGTCACCCCGCTGTGCTTTGATGTAGCACCCGCTGCAGAAAAAAGAGGACAAATTGTGATGAGACACAGCGGAGGGAAGGTTTGTGGTAGGTGAGGAGGCACTTTAAAGTGTTTTTCATACATATTGACAGGAAAATAATGCGAGCTATAGTATGGAGCCACATACATTGACGAAGTTATACCGGATCTTCTGTATGTATCATAAACACTTCAGCAGCATTGGTATTTTTAGTTTCCACAGTATGTTTCTGCCAATAAAACACCCAGATACACAAACTAAGGCAAAGTTAATGAGAGTTGAATGGACATCTTTCTGCATGGGAAGAGTTTGTGTACATGTTGACAACCATCCATCTTGGCTCCAAATGGAAGTAGCATCATGAAGAATGCATATTACAACTTGTAGTAAACAAGCCACAGCATGAAGTATACAGCAGTTGCAGGATCCAAGGCAACAGGACAGAATGCATTATGTGCTGGTAATTGAATACAATGGGTGGGCTTGGTCCAAGCACAGAGTAGCAAATAGAGTAGAATGTGTCTAATTGGATTATAATTATTCTTCTTTTCCTCTCGAGACTCATTCATACCACTGTGTACTGATTATTACAGATGTAATGTCAAAAAGAAGGCATTACAACATAATTTATTAAGGATTAAACTAATAAAATAACTTGTATATTCTGGCACATTTATACAGAAGTGCTAGGTACTGTAGCTAGCTTGGTTAGCAAGGAGCATCCGTAATCAGCGGTAATGTAAATTTAAATGCTATATTTTGGCTAGTGAAAAACATGGTAAAAAAAGAAATGTTCTTACGCGGTAATAAGGAACAGTGGACTTTTTAAAGGATCTTTTCCTACAACTGAACGCTAAACAACCCGAGGTAAAGCCCCTGTTGTGGCAACTTGACAGTCACAAGCTAGCCCAGCCATAACTCATACCCTGCGTTATGGTCTATTATATTTAAACAGGGCCATAATTGACTTAGTCAAGGACAGATTTGAACGGCTTCAGCGCTTCAGACAAAACCAATAGATTAGGAGAGATGGCGTGTAGAAAGATAGCACAGACTCTTATCTGGATCCCTGCTGGGCTTATTCAGCAAGAGAGGAGGAGAGAGACAAACACATCAAACATAAAGCAAGAAAGTGGTCCTCTGTACTCTGTTGTCCTACTCAATACTTAGTGATTAGATGTATTCCATGTTTAAATGGAAATGTATTGACCTTTTCGCATTACAACACTATGTTCTGTGTGTTCCCAACACATTTAATTGATAAATGGTATTCTTTTTTCAAACTTTATTTTGCTTGTCCATGTGTCTTTTGTTTATGCAATATCTCAGGAACACCTTCAGTGAATTTGTTTTTCTCACTTTCTCACAGTTTATGTTTCAGATTATACAAATGTATTCACACTTTTATCCACAGTTCTTTCATTTTCATTCCGCTGTATCTACGAAGCCAAAATATAGAAAGAAAACTTGAGATAGAATAATACAAATAGAAATAAATAAATAAGTGGAAACATTTTCAAAAATAATACATGAAAACAAACGGATAATGTAGATGTAAAAGAAACTGATCAGATATTTGTGATGTCAAAGTGATCTTATCCAAAATCGGATCAGCTCTCCTAGGTATTTTGTGTTTTTTTGTATATATTTTCGTGGTCAAAGGTCAAAGTCACCTTGACTTCACATTTATACCATTCTCATATCTGGAATGCCTTTGGTTAAAAAATGTTATTCTGGCCCAATTGTCATGATGATGGTCAAAGGTCAAGATTGCCGTGACCTCTAAAATATGTTTTTGTCCATAATTAAATTAATGTTATGTTAATTAACACAACGATCCAAAGGGACAAAATAATGTAGTGATGACATTTCCTACACACATGGATATAAAATGCAACTTGGCTTCGTGGCGTACAACCTAGACATTAACATTTATTGCATCTGCTTTGTCTTAACAGTCTTTAAATCACATGATGTGCTGATGCAGATGGTTTACCATGTGTGTATGTTCCCATGTGTTTGTGTCAGGGTGATTGAGTGCCAGTGAATGCCCTTGTATGTATGCATAAGAACACACATGTCTCTGAGCGTGTTTTCTGACGCAGCTAAAACCTGAGATCAAAGAACGATTAGGCCTCGGTATGATCTTATCGTGACTTAACTCCACGCATGCAAAGCAGAGCAAAGATGACAGTGTGTGTTTGTGTGTGTATGTCATGCTTTATCATAGTGTGAGACCTATTTGCATTGTGAAGTATATGTGAGGAAGCTGTTTATTTGTGTGAGCTCACTGGTTTTGAGTGAGACAATAAGGACAAAACACACTTCTAGTTGTCTTTTCACAAATACACACACACACACACACACACACACACACACACACACACACACACACACACACACACACACACACACACACACACACACACACACACACACACACACACACACACACACACACACACACACAGGTCGGTCCCTCACTCAATCTGCATGCTACATCTAATTTTGCATTCCAAAGCATCTTAAGTTTAGCATATTCTTAACTTCTGTTCTCTATGCAGACACATTCTCCGGTAAAACGTTGATGCACGTGGTTTTTACGCTTGGCTGTGGTCAACTTTGCTGCGCAAAGACTCTGTAAAACAGTGACTTCAGTTAAAAACTTACATTTAGATCAATCCCATGCTTAAACAGTTTTTTAAACTATACAGGAGAAAAAGTGCTGAAGGCAAAAAGGCAAATTACTTATTCACTATGGTGGAGAATGCAGACAGTGGCAGAGGACAAGAGGATGAGATATATTTAACATTTATAAGCTCCTATTTTACTACGGCAGCTGGAGCCATGGGAAACACGTTGGTTTTTCCCGGGAAACTGAAAGGTGCAGGTAGTTTCAGACTTTCAATAAATAAGTTACATTATGTTTTTTTTCCCCCAGTTGTATTTGCAAGTTAGTTTAGTTGTGTTTTTCCAGAGATCTACATTTTTATTTTGGTGACACTATCACAGCGTAAAGTACATTTTTAAAGCTTTGGATTGTAGCATCTTTGCAGAACACTCCTGAAAAATGTAATCTTATTTAAATAATATGTAATCTTTACTCCTCTCATATCTAAATAGTCTGAAGATAAAGTCTCTAGTTTTTTGGGGTGAGTTTTTCCTTGTATTAATATGTATAAATGGCTTTACAATCGGTAGAGCATCTGACATCCTTGGCTCTTTGAATACATTCCGGATTTGAGAAATTGAACTATATAAATATAAATGATAGCATTTCTTACAGGGTCTGTTAAAATTACAGCTCAAGATACATTTACTGTAATAGACTCTTGATTTGAATACACATCTTCCGATCATCCAGAAAGCACAACATGGTGTTAAAGATGTTATCTAATCCCTCATCAGTGAAATATTGAACTATCATTTGAATTGACTTAGTTGCATTAGTTAGGAAAACACTGTTTAGGATGTATAAACATAATTGGATACAGTGATGGATGCTGGGTCATGTTCATTCAAGTTGCTCAGTGGCGCATGAAGCCAGAATAGTTTGCCTGTGGGGTAATAAAATCCCTTTCCCATCCCTGGGCCAAATTGAGCAAGCACACTAGTGTTTCATTTAACCCTGCAGACTCCACAATCTGCTTTTATTTAACCTTTATTCAACCAGATAAAAAGCATTGAGATAAAATCTCATTTACAATGCTGACCTGGCCAAGAAGGCAGCAAGGTTACACATTATTACACATAACACAGACATATAAAATACAGAGAACACAACTAAGTAAACAAAAAGATGAAAAGCAGTCACTACATTGTGCACATTGGGACAGTAAGTAAGGTGCACTACTTATTACTGCAGGAGCAACTGGTGGTAAGGACTTCAGACAACTTCAATTTAAAACAGGCTATAGGGCAGTGGTTCTCAAACTTTTTCTGTCAGGCCTCCCCTTTGGAGAAATAAAAAGTCAGGCCCCCCCCCCAACACAAATAGTCAGGCTCAGTGGCGGCGCCAGAGATTATATTTTGGGGGTGCTGTGGGGGTAGCTTGACGTTTCATAGAGGGTGCTTTTAGGGTTTCCCATTAATGTACCGGTCGCTACGGTGGANAAAGGGAGGTCAGGTACTCTTTAAAACAGCTGCTAGTTATGGGTACTTTTTACTGAAGGACATTTCAAAGTTCTTTACTTCCACTTGAGTAAAGAAGTTTAGTCAGTACTTCTACTTTCACCAGAGTATGTTTAAACACGAGTATCTGTACTTCTACCTGAGTAAAGGATGTGTGTACTTGTACCTGAGTAAAGGACTGTGGTGACCCTCTTT